TTCTGAAAAACCTGCAGAGCAGCTGTCTCCCCAGAAGCAGGACCAGCAACCAGTGTGTTCCAGGAGCAGACTCCCAGCTTTGGGCCCCACTCCTGGGAAGCTAGCTGCACTGTAGGCTTTATACTGTAGAGTCCACAGTGCAAGGCAGCAGTCGGCTCCCTGGGAGAGAGTGTGTGCCGGAAGCTGACTTTAAGCGGGCTCCAGGCATTCACCAGCTCCTACCTGCCACCCTGCACCTGGTGCACACTGAAGGCCTGCTTTTAAGCTAGCTTGTGGCACGCACTGGCTCCTGGCCTCATTCCCAGGGAGTCAACTGTCACCTTGCGCTGCAGCCTCCGATAAAGAGCTAGAAGCACAGGATGGCAGCCAGCTCCCTGGGAGCAGGACCAGAAAGAAGCCAGAGTGTAACTGTTATGGTAACAGATAAGATCAGTTAAACTATTACTGTAAGATGGATAGAAATCTGGCTGTAAGATGGATAGAAAGCTGGCTAGACTGTCGGGCCCAATGGGGAGTGATTGACGGCTCGATGTCAGGCTGGCAGTAGGTTTCTAGTGGAGTGCCCCAAGGATCGGTTCTAGGGCCGGTTTTGTTCAACATCCTTATTAATGACCTGGATGAGGGGATGGATTGCGCCTTCAGCAAGTTTGCAGATGACACTAAGATAAGGGGAGAGGTAGGTATATTGGAGGGTAGGGATAGGGTCCAGAGTGACCTAGAAAGATTAGAGGACTGGGTCAGAAGAAATCTGATGAGGTTCAACAAGGACAAGTGTAGAGTCCTGCACCTGGGATGGAAGAATCCTAAGCATTGTTACAGGCTGGGGACCGAATGGCTAAGTAGCAGTTTTGCAGAAAAGGGCCTGGGGATTACAGTAGATGACTCATATCCAGCTTCTCAACAGTGTGCCCTTGTAGCCAAGAAGGCTAATGGCATATTAGGTTGCATTAGGAGGAGCATTGCCAGCAGATCTAGAGACGTGATTATTCCCCTTTATTCGGCTCTGGTGAGGCCATATCTCGAGTATTGTGTCCAGTTCTGGGCCCCCCACTATAGAGAGGATGTGGATGCATTGAAGAGGGTCCAGCCAGAGGGTGACCAAAATGATTCGAGGGCTGGAGCACATGGCCTATGAGGAGAGACTGAGGGAGTTGGGTCTGTTTAGTCTGCAGAAGAGAAGAGTGAGGGGGGATTTGAGAGCAGCCTGCAACTCCCTGAAGGGAGGTTCCAAAGAGGATGGAGAGAGGCTGTTCTTAGTAGTGACAGGCAATTACAATGGAGATCTAAGTTGGACATTAGGAAAAACTATTTCACTAGGAGGGCGCTGAAGCACTGGAATGGGTTACCTCGGGAGGTGGTGGAATCTCCATCCTTAGAGGTTTTTAAGTCTCGGCTTGACAAAGCCCTGACTGGGTTGATTTAGTTGGGATTGGTCTTGCTTTGGGCAGAGGGCTCAACTTGATGATATCCTGAGGTCTCTTCCAGCTCTATGATTCTATGATTACATCCCTAAATACGTAGCCGTCCTTCAAGGATACCTACAATTTCTCCATAACTTTTCTGTTCTTGTCTTTCTCAAAAACTAATAATGATTTTATGGTTTATTCAATCTGCTTCAATAAAGGTTCAAATATTCCCCTTTCAAAACCCACTATAGTGGGGTATGATGATGGACTTTTCTTAGAATACTAGAATGCCATCTGTATGAAATCCTAAAAGTTTGCATTGCATGCCTGGAATCTTCATAAATGGTGACTAGGACTAAGGTTACCAGATGGCTTAAAAAAAATACCAGACACACTTGATCTCATATGAGTGGAGGGGGGACCCGGCCAGGAGGGGAGCAGGACTGGCCAGGAGGAGGTCGGGGGAGGGGGTCGGGGGAGCAGCAGCAATCCTTGCAGAGGCCATTTAGGGAGTTGGGGCAAAAATTCATCAGGGATGGTACTTGGTCCTGCTGTGAAGACAGGGGACTGGACTTGATGACCTTTCATGGTCCCTTCCCATTCTAGGAGAGAGGCAGTCTCCATTATTAGTATTAGAGGGAGAACCAGTGGCAGGAAGCAGGGCTGGTTGGGAGGGGGAGGAGCGGGGGGAGAGAACCCACCTCCACCTCCCTCCTCTCTATTGCGTAGTTGCGTACTGCCTGGCTCGTACACATGCTCACACAGTGTGAGCATATCTACCAACCAGGCAGTACACAACTATGTACTGATACTCATAATAAGAAAACGTAATTAGAAAATACTGGACATTTATATGTCCGGTATTTCCTCGATTTATTTCCTGGACAGAAACCTCAAATACTGAACTGCCCTGTTCAAAACCGGACACCTGGCAACTCTAACTAGGACAAATATACTTTGTGCAATGGGAGGGACAAAGTCAGTTACTTTTAGAACAAGATTTAGATTTTAATAAAAAATTGAAAAAACCCTCGTTAAAAGAACAGAAAATGTAAATAGCCAGCAGCCTTCTCAGGCAGACTCCCGGTCTGCCCCACCCCTGCACTGGCTGCAGGGGTCATGTGGTCTTTGAATAGCTACAAGCCTAATGGGAGAGTGATTCACAACTGGCCAATGTGACTGTGCGGAGGATGGGGGGCAGCACGTGAAGCCCCCTCCCCTCCCCCAAACTCCCAGCTATTCAAACAGAGCTCAGCAGCAGCTGCTTTTCTCAGAAGTGTATGGCAGGGCAGGCAGGGAGCCTATCTGAAGCTCCCCAAGCATCCATGGGCTGGATCCAGGGGTTGGTGGGCCGGATCCGGCCCATGGGCCATATTTTGCCCATGCCTGATCTATTTTATCCTCCAAGTTGAGCAAAATGAAAAAGAAATCAAATTATTTCAACTTTAATAATCAAATTCATTAATAACCCAGTTAAGAAAACTTACTGTATTTTAAAAGAGTAATTTTTAAGCTGTGTCTCCTCTTATTATATATTTAGACCTTACTATATGATTAAGAAAACACAATTAAGTGTTTATACATTATAGCAGAGGTGGGCAATAATTTTTGCCCTGGGGCCGTGTCAAAAATTTTTGAAGTAGCCCCAGGCCAACCCAGAAGGGGTGGGGCCTAAACAGGAAGAGGTGGGGCTACCACACCCTCAGACCATGATTGATCTGGGGATGAGGGAGCCCCTTTGCCCCCTCTTCCCACTAGACACCTATGCCCTGGAAGAGGCTTGGCACGTTCCCCCACCCCCAGGCCAATCAGGCTCCTCACAGGGCCTGGGCAGGGCAAAGGAAGCTTCACGCAGCTCCCCCGCCCTTGATTGGCCTGGGGCCGGGGAGTGCGCAAAGCCTCCTCCGCTCTCCTCCCTACCCTGCAAGCAGCGCTTCAAAGAGCCACGTGCTCCTGGCAGGACAGGAGGAGGCTTTGTGCGCTCAGGGCCGGATTAAGGGGGGAGCTAGCCAGGCAACTGCTCGGGGTGCCAATCTATGGAGGGCGCCTGATGGCAGTTGTAAGGGGCACCGGCCGCGCAGCACCCCTTAGAGCTGCCATCAGGCGTTGCACGCCCCTGCTCTGCGGCGCCTGATGGCAGCTGTAGCCCCCAACCCTGATGGCAGCTGTAAGGTGCGCAGTGCGTGGGGGGGGGCAGGGCCACGCATGCGCCATGCGCCTTGGGGGCAGAGCTGTCCATGCGTTGCACACCCGCTGCCCGGGGCGCAGGAATGGCTCGAGCCAGCCCTGGGTGCACTCTCCCGCCCCCAGGCCAATTAGGCTCACAGGGCGGGGGCAGAGTGGAGAAAGCTTCAGGTGCTCCCCTGCCCCCAGGTCCTAATTGGCAGCAGGGCCTCCATGGGCCAGATCCACCCACTTGGCAGGCCAGATCTGGCCCGCAGAGGCCCTTTTGCCCACTCCTGCAGTATAGGGTTGCATCTTTTAGAAATCTACACAGTAATTGCTGAATTTTTTATCCAGAGGGGTAGCTGAGTTAGTCTGTTACAGGAAAAACTTAAAATACAACGAATAGTCTAGTAGCACCTTAAAGACTAACAAATCATGAGCTTTTGTGGGCACAACCTGTTCATATTTTTATTTAATATAATAAAGCATACTGACCATAAGACTTTCCAGTATTTAAAAATCATTTATCATTAGGGCCAATTTTCAAATATCATGATCATACCACACACAAAACATAACAGTAACCCATATGATGTGTATTTTCATAGTACATACCTAATTAAAGTCCTGATTTCCCCTTTCACCATTATATAATTCTTACTACACTGTAATTTCATACTTAAACCTTAAAAATGGAAGACTGAGGTATGTCTTATATGCGGATTTTCAATTAAATATTTTTTGGTTTTGGAATTGTTTTGGGTTTCCACACAAATACAGAAGTCTTAATTGCATCAAACCCCTTTTCAAGTAAGAGCCTCAGATTTAAAATCCTGTTTTGTGGTTCTCATCAGTCAGAAAACAAGTTGACAAGCTTTGTTCTCATCTTACAAGCATCAAAAGATCACTAAACTCATCCCTTTCCCTGTAGATGTCTTGCATGAATAGCTCCTTGTTGTCGATGTACAAACTGATACCATATTACATTCTTTGAAATTAATGAGGTTTGCCTTAGGCAGTTTACTTGAGCAGCCATTGTAAATATATGGAATTATTTTTCTATCATTATATCTCTATATTCAACAAGGCTTAATAAACGTATTCATTCATTGCACACAAGTAAAAAATGTATCTTGGTGTCTGCAGTATAATTGCTATCTTATCCTGATTGTATTCCACACAACCAAGCTCTCTATAAATGTCTTTGAAGACCAGAATTAAATATTAAATGAAGACCTATTTATCCAATGAACAAATATTCTTGAACAAATTTGCCATCAAGTTCTCCCCCATGTTTATTAATAAACAACAGAAAATCCAATCTGGCAGAGTCCAAAGATGCACTATATTAACTGCTGTTTAAGAAATATTTTCATTCATATAAAACTATAAAGCATAAAAACAAAATACTAATTTTGTCAGACTTACATTGGACAACTGAAACAATGGCAGCAATAATAGACAGAGAGATACTTTATTAGTTGAGGGACCAGGAAAAATGCAAGCATTAAATTTAAAACTTACTATCATACCAGTGTTTAAGCTAAGAGAAAAAAGGATCTATGGCAATAAAATGATAAATCTGCATGCTGGCTCTATTTTAGACATCTGCTAAGAAGAGACTACCTGTGCCAAAATCCTGAAAAGAATGTAATGTGGTTTTACAGAACTGAGACCAATGTCCCCCTGTACCTAATTGGGTTATGCACATATTCCAACTGTAGATGGGCCCTGTGAGACTAATATTTTAAGTGTTCTGGGTTTTTTTATTTTTTTGTGATAAAACAGAACACTTAGCACAAAAAGACTCAGCTCTAATTAAGCATTTTAATACTGTAAACGTAAAGAAATGATGCTGTACATTTTCATGCCAACAAAAATCTCAAAAAATAAATGTAGCTACTTTCTAGGCAAAAGTATGTTTGGTATTTAAGTAGATGGCAAACAAATTCAAGACAAATAATTGTTTATAATTTCAAGCTGGTGAATACTGCAATTGCAGTACACTGGTTTAGCTGCCAGTTGAGACTCTGAGCCAAAAGTAAAGATGGCAACAAAGGGAGGAGGGAAGGAAATCTGTTGTTATAAGAATCAGAGGGGTAGCCGTGTTAGTCTGAATCTGCAAAAACAACGAGAAGTCCTGTGGCACCTTATATACTAACAGATTTATTGGAGCATTAGCTTTCGTGGGCAAAGACCCACTTCATCTTTGCCCATTAAAGCTTATACTCCAATAAATCTGTTAGTCTATAAGGTGCCACAGAACTTCTTGTTGTGTTATAAGAGTGACAACATTTTGGATGCCATTTAAAATAAATAAGCATCTAGTAAGAAATAGAAAACACAATTGTTCAGTATAAAAACCTGGTAGAAGTTGGTTAGAATATTAAAAAGCAGTGGAAAGAGTTAAAATGCAATAATTACACACATAACCTATTCCTGGGCTTTTCTGAATTCAATTTGAAAAACAACTACTGGTAAGTTTTGTTAGGACTTGCTCAAAAAAAGAACAAAAACAAAAAAATATTCAACAGTTTCTTCTGTACACATTATTGTTTGAGACCCAGCTATAAAGGAAGACATGTTTACTTCACACCATCCAGAAATCAAAGTTAGTACAAATGTAATAAATATAGATTGTAAAAACATTTAACATACATTTTATATTAAATTTTATTTACATTTAAACCTCCAAAGCTTTGTATAATGGACCAATCTCTCAGAAAGAATGGTTCTTTAATTGCATTAACCCTATTTAAACCTCAGGAGAAAGTCCACTGTTTATATTTTTAAAGGGGTGATCAAACTGATGTTAGTTGAATGTAACCTGGGTTATCTGTTATTTGAAACACTGAAAGAATTCCAAGAGTCTATACAGCTTCCCCACCTCTGTCTTCGCTGTGGAGGTGGCCTTTGCATGTTTTTGTGAGGAGGTTCCACTGAATTCATTACAACAGAGATGGACATTTGATATTCATATCGTTCCAACATCTGAGCAATCTTCTCACGAGGGACCCCATGTTTATTCCTCCTACAAAAATAATAATTTAAATAATTTGTTTGGTACTTTTTATATGCTTGCAATCTTTCTTAAACTTTTGAAGAGCTATTGTCCTGTTTTATCCTTTCCATCCATTCAGGCTGTCAAACACAATCATTTAATCTTCTGCTAACTTTCAAGATCCAGAAGGATCTACACAGGTTTTTCCGTCATTACAAAAAATAAGCTTAAATATAACTGAAATAGATAAAATTGAAAACTGAAATAGATAAAACTACAAGAACTGATTACACATTTCTGAAAAACAATATGCTATTGTGTGTGGAAGTTCAGATTTAATTCCATCTTATAATATTCAAATTGTATTACACGTTTTAACACAATTTATTGTATATATTGAACATACAAATATAAAAAGCATTTTCCTGAGTACAGAAATGTGGTGCTGTTTATCACAGTTTAAGAGCAACTGTACCTGTATTTCCCCCTCTGTGATTCCTTCAGGGCAACCACTTCAAGGTTTCTGGCTCCCAGTCACCACCTTTCTTGGCCACAGACCTGTATCTCACTGCCTCCCTGACCAGTGGTTTTAAAGCTGCACAGCTCCCTGTCTTCTACTTTTAATAACACCATCAAGTCAGTCTGCCTAAAAAGACCAAAACCTGTGCTTTGCTTTCTTTCCAAGGACTATGAGTGTTGATTGACAGTAGTCACACACTGCATGTTACCACAAAAGTTTTTCTAAGCAAGCACATTTGTTTGTCAGGTAAACAAATGTGTAAAAACAAACAGCCTACCAGAGGTCACCCATGAATCTAATGGGGACACAACAGGCCTAAGTCTTTTCAACCCTTCTGCAAGGAATAGGGCCCCCTTGGACAGCAGCTTCTCATTCCTGGACCAGAAACAAGGCCACAAGTCAGTTTAAATGAAGGTTATTACCCAAAAGTCCTTTTTTTGTCTGTTGGTCTTTGGAGAATCTGCTTAGAAATAGTGTTAGCCTCTCCAGAAGTAGCACCCCTCTGGGAGGATTGCAACCTGGCTGATTTTGCCACAGTTGTTGAACTCTCTTTTTAATTCCCAGAGAAGCTGCAGTTATCTTCTCCCATGAAATAGAACACAATCATACATAAACCATTTATTTAAAACAACGGACCTCAAAGATACTGTATGGGTTTGCAATATCGTACACACTGGTAGCCTGGACTACATATGTATACTGTTCCTAAGATGACTCTTCTTTCTATTTACCGATCAGATACAACAGTACTTTTAGATACTACTGTGATGGGGGCATATGAGTCAGAGAGTGTGTCAGGAATTCACAGAAACATAGACCCTGCTCATTGCATTTGGCTGACTCAGCTAATAAACCCAGACTGGCTAAAGATTTCAGCAGATACAGTCTTAAACAAAACACTGAAGCAACCCTGGGTTCCTGGTTGCTCCACAGCTACAGTTGTGGTTTTGGTCCTGCTTTCTATCCCTGCTCTCAGCTCCCTTCTTGCTTCCACCCCTTATTTTGAAATATGCTTTGAGGTATGGACGTGCTCTTGCGCAAGAAGTTTCTGTGCAAAAACTCTTGCGCAAAAGGCTGCTTGCGCAAGAAGCATGTAGTATAGATGTAGCCTATATGACGACTGAAGACAGTCACATTGGGAATGATCCTATGCTCACTGAAGTCAGTGTCAAGGCCCTCATTTACTTTAATGGTACAAGATTAATCCACATCTGAATATTAAAATCCCACAGAGCAGCCAATAAAACAAAATTCAAGGCAGGCAACCCCAAATGGAAGGTCTGAAGACTGTTGTCTTTTCCCCGAGTTCTGACCAAACATAACAACTGTTTATGATTTTCTCCTAATTCACAAATCATTCTGACAGAATAATCACCACACTGCAAAGGACAGTTTTTTCAAACAACATGGCTCAAGCACATAAGCAGCTGATTCTTTCTTTCTATCAATGATTTTGCTGCAGAGCTGTTGTACTGACATTAACTCTTCAAGATTTCAGGAATAGGATTTCTCAAAGTATGGAATCTTTACATCCAAAGCTAAATAAGCAAGAAGCTATAACTGCTATTGACAATAAAAAGAGACAACCGCTTCAAAAGTTCATCAACTGGATCTATATGAGAAAAAAATCTTCCTCCTGGAGTCAGGTGATTTTAAGAAAAACTATAATGAAGGATAATATCGTACTCAACAAGAAACTTGAAAACAAATCATGCACATGAAATTTAGAGTTCATTTGCACTCCATCAGTATATTGAAGAATCTTGGTCTAAAGGCCTTTTCCCTCCAAAATAATGTATCTTTTATTAACCCTTTGTCTAATCACCCACTGTATTTTCAGTGCAGTGGCTTCCTTCTCTGAAGACTTCCTGTTCATTTTTTAAATTATTTTACATATAGTACCAGAAACTTCAAATAAGAAATAGTATTTTTTTCTAAAAATATTAATGTATTTTTGAAATAAAAATAAGCAGTAATCCAGAATAGACAGTATTACTGTTCAAAATGAGGACGTTTACCTGGCTATTCTCAACAATAAGATGGGGTTGGCGTATTTTCAATTCCAGTGCTCAGATAAAACAAAAGACTTCATACAAAAAATTAAATGTGATACACAGAAAGAGTCAGGATTGATGATTCCAGGTAATTCAGAAAACTAATAAATTAGTAATTTATTTTTCCATTTGGCCAAGTGCCCGTCATAATGTGGAACACTGAAAATTTATGACAAAAAAATCTCAGGATTATATTAATCTTTATGTTGGTAACTATTACATAAAATGTGTGACTTGGAGATCTGAAAAAACATTTAAAAATGTAATAGTCGACAGGCTGGTTGACTAGTCGCTCCTCCCCCCCCCGCCATTGCTACCTCTTGAGAAAGAGGTGTGAGTGGGGGAATGAGGAGGGGGTACTTCAAAGCGGCAGTGCCGTGTGGAGCTGGGGCCAGACCCATAAGGAGCCTGACGCCAGGCTCCCCACAGCATTTCAAAGCAGCAGCGCCGCACGGAGCTTAGGGTCAGCAGGGGAGTCCCCAGCTGACCCCAGGCTCCATGCGGCACTTTCACCTTTGAAGTGTAGCTACTGCCCTAGGGCTGTTGCTATACTTCAAAGGCAGAGGCGCTCTATCAACTAATCAAATAGTCAATGCAAAATGCATCGACTATTTGCTAAGTAAATTACTCGCAATTTAAGATCCCATTAGTCCATTTAGCTATTATGAACTGATGAGATAGTGAACTACTTTTGTTTCATTTCAATATTATAACAGAATCATTACTCTTCTTTATGCAAGTTCCAGTATAAACTACATTTTGAAAGAATTCATATACTTGATCATTAATAATTTAGTTTCATTTGGGTGAGATTATGCATGCAATTTTTCAAAGTTTAATAATAATTATTTATTTTATATACATTATGCTTGAATCTAAATATTGATATTTTTCAGTTACCAAAACAAGATAATCAAATGTTCTTCTCTTATGGCTTCAATCTAGTTAGAAGATGAATATTCTTATTTTTCTCTTATCTCTTGTTAACATACCATTGCAAAGCTCATTAACCCAATCAGTTTGTTGGGAGTCTTAGAAGGATTCAATGCCAACAAGAGATGGGGAAATAATAGTAAAAGTCTTTATCATTTGATTTCTCCCAAGTTTGCCTGGCATGCACTGAAATGCCATAGATTACAAGAGGATTTAGAGTGGGTGGTAAACATTAGAAATTAATAAAGAAAACTAAAATGGACTTTGTCCTAAAAGATCAGACCAAATGTCCATTTAATCCAGTATCCTGTCTCCAACGGTACTTAATACCAGGGAGCAGGGAAAAGTTTCAAGAAATACCATGATAGACAATTATGGAATAGCTTGTTCATATGGGAATTTTCTTCCTAATTCCCACTGGATAGGAGTGAAGTTACACCCTTAAGCATGAGGATTTGTATTCCTTCTAAAATGTTTTATTCTGTCTAATTAAACCATGGATGTTCTTATCTACATACATGTCTGATATATATAAATGCTCATCATCTTGGTCACATCTTGCAGCAATGACCTCCTAAATTAGGTTAATCATCCACAGAATAAGGAAATGTTTCCTATGGGCCTGATAATTTTTCCATTTAAATACATGGAAACTTTGCTGTTGATTTCAAAGGGAGCAGGCCTGGGCAAAATATGGTCTGCGGGCTGCCAAGCCACCGGATCTAACCCACAGAGGCGGCAGGGTGCCCCAGGCAGACTCCCTTGCTTGCCCTGCAGCCCCGCGTGGCGTGCAGAAACGTAGCTGCTGGGCTACATTCCTGTTTCAAAACTGGAGGGGGGGGGGATGCTTCAGGAGCCGCTCCTGCCCATGACACAATCCCATTAACCAGTCAATGGGAGCTGCTTGTTTGAATAACAGGCAGCCAAGAAGAACCACGCCCGCCCCCTGTCCTTGGCTCAGTTATTCACTGAAGCACATGGGTCAAGCAAGCAGGCAGGCAGGCTAGCTGGCTGGGAAACATTTTAAGCTCTGCAAGCCTTAGTTCTGCAGGCAGGCAGGCTGGTAAGTCTCCTGGCCACAGACTGCCTCTGGCACCCCTTCCCCTCCCTGCCCGAACCTTTTGCCCCACCCCCCACTCAACATACCAAACCCTCTGTTCCCCATACTCCCTCCCAGATCTGGCAACCCAAACTCCTGCCCCAGATCACAATCCCCTTCTACCCTAGGTCACATCCCAAACCCCTGCATTCCAGTCCCCTACTCTAAGGGTACGTCTAGACTACATGCCTCTGTCGCCAGAGGCATGTAGATTAGGCTACCAGACATAGGAAAATGAAGCGGTGATTTAAATAATCGCCGCTTCATTTAAATTTACATGGCTGCCGCGCTGAGCCAACAAACAGCTGATCAGCTGTTTGTCACAATAGTAAAATGAAGCGGCAATTTAAATAATCGCCGCTTCCTTTAAATTTACATGGCTGTTTGTCGGCTCAGCTCAATAGTCTGGACGTGAGGGTGTCGACATCAAAGGTATTTGTCGACCACCCAGGTATGCCTCCTGGGATGAGGTTTACCTGGGTGGTCGACAAATACCTTTGATGTCGACACCCTCACGTCCAGACTATTGAGCTGAGCCGACAAACAGCTGATCAGCTGTTTGTCGGCTCAGCGCGGCAGCCATGTACATTTAAATGAAGCTGCGATTATTTAAATTGCCGCTTCATTTTCCTATGTCTGGTAGCCTAATCTACATGCCTCTGGCGACAGAGGCATGTAGTCTAGACGTACCCTAAGTCACAACCACCTCCTTCACCCAATCTCCCTCCAGCACTCCAATCCCTTATCCCAAGGTCCCCTCTGCACCCAACCTCCCTCCCAGACCCCACATCTCCTCCATTAATATCATGGAAGAGTGAGGCTCTCGACCACTTTCCAAAATCTTGGAGTGGCCCTTGTCAAAAATTATTGCCCATGCCTGATGTGGTCTTCCTCTGTGTAGTTCTGTGCTGATATTTATGTATACAGTATATTTACATCAATATTAATAGAAGTCAATATACACTAGCAAACACACATTAGCAATAAAGCACTTACAGAACTGATGAAATACTGAGAAAATGTAAATTAAACCACAATCCAAAAGAAAAAAACTACAATGGTTACTATAACACAAATCTTACTTTTCTAACTCCGCAGGATCAAACTTCCACCATGTGTCTGGCTCATGAAATTCCACTCTGTAGCCTTTCCCTAGTGCCTACAGCAAATAAGGAAACATAAAATGCATGACAGATGTAACATTATTATACTAGTTCCCACTGCAACAAATGCAACATCATTAAATAGAAAAACTATTAATAAAAACTAGACTGTTATTAAAACTAAATACTAAACCAGGAGTTCTCAAACTCGGGGGGTTATGATCCTTCAGGGAATCATAATGTTATTATATAAGGGGATGAAAGTTGTCAGCCTCTACCCCCAAAATCTGCTTTGCCTCCGGCATTTATAATAGTGTTAAATATTTAAATAGTATTTTTAATTTATAAGAGGGGATTGGCATTCAGAGGCCTGCTGTGTGAAAAGAGTGACCAAAACAAAAGTTTGAGAACCAATGTACTAAGCAGTCCTAAAGCCCACTGAACTTTAAATCACTTTACCCCACAAATTCTAGGTTTCAACTAAGGCTAAAAAGATTTAGGTAAAGTTAATCCAAATTAGACTAATGCACTCCTGTTAGTGGCTATGTCAAAGAAATAGCCTGTCTGAGGAAAAGAAGGAATGTCAAAAAGAAAGACCATTACTAGACAAAGTAGTTGCATATGTGTTTTGTGAAAGTAGGTCTGCAAAAGAAACACCAGAACAACAACAGATTTAATGACACAGTAGTTATATTTACCATTTCCACATATGGCTTCATTTCCCAGGCTTGAGTATTAGTGTTGTCTATTATAACTGGAGTTCTTCCCTGGTCCATTGCTTGCTTTGCTGCAGTAAATAAAGATTACAATACAACCCTCAATATATGGGTGAAAATTAGAAAGAATATTTTGTCTATTTCAAGTAAAATGATGACACGCATTTTTGTTCTACAAGAGGTTTACATGAATTAGTATACCATGTGATTTATTAAGCTATCTAAACTGGATTTCTATTTCATTAGATTCCACTTAAACAAGAAGTTTACAGCTTAAGGGTAAACCAATAAACAATAATTTAACAGAGACAAGTGCTAAAAGAGCTTTATAATTAACAGGGAAAACTGCCTATTGCCTTCTTGATTCCTAGTAAGAAGCAATGCATCAGGCAGACATTTGTAGTGGGAATCCATAAGGAGAGTATTAGCTACATAACTTTTATAATTACTTTTACAGTTAATTCCAAGAATAATAATTACAAGAGCCATATTACATAGAATACACATTTATTGTAAGAGAGATGGCATGAATATGCTTCCAGAAAATCTTATGCTTAAGTTACTTTACTGGTTTAAGCAGATAATATTTCCATTAATAAAATCCCACATGATTAACCAAAAGGGGTGAAGCTGAGAGTAGAAGGGGCGGGGCCTAAGGCAGTAAGCCTTTAGTGCCACCCAGACCGCAGTTCGCCCCCGCAGACCTCACAGCCACGCGGAGAAATGTTCTGGTGGCAATTCAAAGGGGCCCAAGGCTCCAGGAGCTACTGCTCCGGGCCCCGGGGCAATTGCTTCCTCTTCCCCCTCCACCCCTTGTCGTCAGGCCTGTGAATAACTACCAACTATCAAGCCCAGAACTTTAGCTGTACTTCAGCATATCTTTTAAAAAGACCTTCAATCTTCATTTAAATCCACCACAATTTCGATAAATTATTCTACTAGCTAATTAACCTTTCTGTAAAAAAAAACAACAAAAAAAAAACCCCTGCATCCAGTTTCTAATTTGAATTCATTCTAGTTTTACCTTCTAGTTACTCCAACTTGTTATGGCTTCATCTGTTTCAGTGAAAAGGCCTCTACTATCAGAAATCTTTTCTCTAAGTAGGTACTTATAGACAGATCAAGTATCACCATTCAATTTACTTTGTTGAATGGAGTTTTAATCTCACTATAAGAACTCAAATAATTCTGACAGTTCCTTTCCAATTTGTCAAAATCTGTTTTAAAGTATGGAAACCAAAACAGAATGCAATATTCCAATAAAGACTAGTCACTAGGCAACGTGGAGGTGAACTAGTAGGAGAGAAGACTGATTCAAATGTAAAAAAAGAAAAAGACCGGGGCCAGGTCTACTTTCATAAATAGAGATGACCATAGTCCCTTGTCTCATAAGGGTACGGTGATGATAAGTATATTAAAAAGATTGTGAAGCACTCAGATATTAGCGTAATGGAGGGCTATATAAGTATCCGTGACAGAAAGATATCACTTATCAGGTTAGGTCAAGCGGTAGAAGCTCGACAGATTTACGGTCCAAGTCTGGCTGATGACCCATGCAAGAGTAAGCAGGGTTCAATGTGATGGAATGTGGGTGGGTTTTAATTAACTGTTTTAAAACCCTAAGAAGTTAAAGCAAAAAGCCCAAACAATTCATGTTAAAAGTGAGTTAAATCTGCAAAAGTGAACAAAATTAGGTAATGACAGAACTAATGATTGCCTGTGCAACCTCAATTCAATTCCCCTTGTTCATATATATTAAGTCTTTAATTATATGATCATATACTCGTTTTTCCATATAACTTCTAAATCTCAGTCAGTGAGCAGGCTGGACCTGCTTTGGGAATGGATCACAGTTGTGTAGTGAATGGGATTACTGTCCACAGGAACTATGCACCCCTAACTTGTTTCAGAAGTTGGAAGGTATATATAAAGCAGGAGATTGCAGAGAGAGAGGATAGTCTCATGCTTAAAGCATTTGAATGTCATCTTGGAGAACTGGATTCTATTACTGCTTCTCCCCAAAGTTCCTGTGATACTACACAAAACACTTAAATTAAACTTTTCAGAGGTTGTCACTAATTGTGTGTCATCCTAGGACCTCTTGATAACAACCATCATGCCAGGTCTCAACTGAAAGCCTGTCACACTGATCATCATAATCTTAGTGAAATACATGTATAAAGAATATGTAAGGAGCTATGTATGTATATATAAATGTGAATGATGCTTTGAAGTTAAATACAGATCACTTGGAGGTAATATATCTTAAGAAAGGATACATGACGAGACTCCAAGGAAGTCAGGAGAAGAAATCAAGAGAAAGATGAACAGCATGGCTGGAAGGAACACGGGCAAGAAGTGAGAAGAAGTTACTCACCCTGTGAAGTAACAATTGTTCTTTGAGATGTGCCCAGTGGCTGTTCCACTCCAGATGTTGGGTCCCATGCTGGTGCCGTGGCTCGGAGACTTCTCATAGCTGTGCTCCACCAGCTCGCGCATACGTGCTTCCCCAGCAAGGCGTTCGTGCCTTTGATCAGCCGCGTGAGAGCCGGCAACCATCAGTTCCTCTCACCCACTCATCTGAAAGAAGCAAATAAACAAGTCCGGAGTGAGGAGGAAGGGCGGGTCGTGGAGTACCCATGGGGCACATCTTGAAGAACAATTGTTACTTCACAGGGTGAGTAACTTCTTCTTCTTCTTCGAGTGGCCCCGTGGGTGCTCCACTCTAGGTGACTCCGGAGCAGTACCTAGGACAGAGTTAGAGCGCTCTGGAATCAAGACTACCAGCATGATTAAGTACTGCTGTAGCCACAGAAGAATCTGAAGCAAACTGATTGATTATAGCATAATGCTTCATAAAAGTCACATTAGAAGACCATGTTGCTGCTCTGCAAATGTCACGAAAAAAGACACTCCGCTCAGAAAAGCTGTGGTCATAGCAACTGCTCTATTCGAATGAGCCCTCGGAAGGGACACATGGATATACATGAAACTACCAGCCTGGAGATGCGCTGAGAAGTTAGAGGTTGTCCCTTTGAATGGTGTGCTAATGATACTATTAAGCGGTCTGTCTTTCTAAAATCCCGCGTTCTATCAATGTAAAACGCTAAGGATCTCCTTACGTCCAATGTGTGTAGCAGCGCTGCTTGCGTTGAGGTATGGGGTTTAGGGGAGAAACATGGAAAAACCACCGGCTCATTTATATGGAATTCAGAAGAAACCTTCGGAATAAACGCCGAATGGGTCCTCAACGTCACCAAATCCTTGGAAAAAATTGTATATGGAGGTGAGGCCATAAAAGCTGCTCTCTCACTCACTCTGCGAGCAGATGTGAGGGCTAGAAGGAAGAGAAGCTTGACAGTAATTAAGTGCAATGGTACTGTAGCCAAGAGCTCAAAGGGAGGACGAGTCAAAGTTTGTAGGACCAGATCCAAGTTCCATAGAGGTGGAGGAGGTCTCCGTGAAGGATGAAGGTTTGAGAGCCCCTTCAAAAATCTTTTTGTAATGGGGTGCGCAAACAAGGAAACATCCCCATCCCTACGATGGAATGCATTAATTGCTGCCAAATGTACTTGTAGAGATGCGACTGCCAGGCCGTTGTCACGTAGTTGCAAGAGGCACTGTAATATACAGGGTAGAGTTGCGGAACGAGGATCTACATCATTATCCACACACCATGCCTGGAACCTGGACCACTTAGCTGTATAAGCTGATTGGATAGATTGTTTCCTACTATGCATTAAGACTTCCCTGACTCGCTGAGAACAGGACTGCTAGGAGTCGGTAAACCAACAAGCATACACGCCGTGAGGTGCAAAACTTCGGGTCTTGGGTGACAGAAATCCGTTGTCTTGGGTCAACACAGTCGGAAGAGAAGGCAGAGGATACGGTGCTCTCACTGACATAAGCTGGAGCACTGAAAACCAAGGCTAACGAGCCCACGCCGGAGCTAGAAGGATTACCCGGGCTCTGTCTGTGTTGATCTTCTCGAGAACCTTGGAAATCAAGACTACTGGGGGAAAGGCATATAGTAATGACCTTTCCCAGCGGAGAAGGAAGGCGTCCCCCAGAGAGTGACGTCCTATTCCGGCTCCTGAACAATAGGCAGGGCATTTCGTATTGTATTCTATCGCGAATAAATCTATCGCCGGAAACCCCCATCGGGCAAAAATACGAGTCAGTACGGCCGTGCGAACCTCCCACTTGTGGTCGTGAGGGAAATGCCTGCTGAGAGAGTCCGCTATTAAATTATCGACACCTGGAATATACAAAGCTGTTAGAATGGTGTTGTTGCTGATACACCAATTCCATAAGTGAATGCTCTCCGCACTAAGGGAAGGAAACCGGGCACCTCCTTGTCTGTTGATATAAAACATGGTCGCCACATTGTCTGTCAAAATCCTGGTAGTTGTATACCGAATCTGCAACTGAAAATGCTTGCAAGCATGGCGTACCGCTCTCAACTCGAGGACACTGATATGCAATAGCATTTTCTGTGTCGACCATCGTCTCTGGACTGTGCGACTGTCCATGTGAGCTCCCCAACCTGTTAGGGAAGCATCTGTTATCTGTTTTGTAGGTTGTGGGCGATGAAACGGGACGCCCACAAGAAGACTGGCCAGGTTGACCCCCCACTGTAGGTACTTCCGGACATACTGCGGCACCACTACTGGCCTGTGAACACTGTGCTTCACTGGAACGTAAACAGTGGCCAGCCAGTGCTGAAGGCAACAAAAACGTAACCTTGTGTTGCGTACTACGATGGTGGCAGCAGCCATATGCCCCATCAACTGTAGACAGACGCACATGGGAATTGTTGGAGCGTGTACTACAGTGTGCACCAAATCTTTGATCACCGTAAAACGTTCCGTTGGTAAGTATGCTCGTGCCATGGTGGAATCGAGTTGTGCGCCTATGAAAACGAGGTTCTGGGATGGAACTAGTGATGACTTCTTCCCGTTTATGAGAAGGCCCAGAGCAGCAAATGTGCTGGACACTGTTCGAACCATATGACATGTTACCGAATACGTCGTGCCTCTGATGAAGCAATCATCCAAATAGGGGAAGATTG